ATTTTATAATAAAGTGTTGAATATCTTATGTAATTTATTGAATACAATACTAACAGTGAAAAACAGAATGGTTGTATGCAAAAGTAAAGTAGGATTTCAAAATGCTTATTGCTTTCACGTCATTGTAAAGTTGAAACATTGTAAAGTTTAAAAGTAGGAACCATCTTTGTAATATTTTAAAGACTCACCCTTATCATAAACTATATCGATATTTCATTCCTTTTTATGGCCAAACAATATTCTTTTGGATGGATATACCGCATTGTGTTAATTAGGTTTTATTTCTGAGACAGCGCAGCAGGAAAGGAACAGCCTGTTTCATTGTCCAGTGTGGTAGCCACCAACCACATGCAACTTTAAATAAAATTTAAAATTCAACTCTTGGCCGGACGCGGTGGCTTACACCTGTAATCCCAGCATTTTGGGAGGCTGAGACGAGCAGATTACCTGAGGTCAGGAGTTTGAGACCAGCCTGGCCAAGATGGTGAAACCCCGTCTCTACTAAAAATACAAAATTAGCCGGGTGTGGTGGTGTGTGCCTGGAATCCCAGCTACTCAGGAGTCTGAGGCAGGAGAATCATTTGAACCTGGGAGGCAGAGTTTGCAGTGAGTCGAGATTGTGCCACTGCACTCCAGTCTGGGTGACAGAATGAGACTCTGCCTCAAAAATAAATAAATAAATAAAATTCAGTTATTCAGTCATACTGGTTACATTGTTAAGTTCTTAGTAGCCACAAGTGGCTAGAGGTTTCCATATTAGCGTAGATAGATAGATACATACAACATGTGCATTGTTGCAGGAAGTTCCTTTTTTTCTTAAGATAGAGTCTTGCTCTGTCACCCATACTGGAGTGCAGTGACATCTTAGCTCACTGTAGCCTTGAACTCCTGGGCTCAAGGGATCGTTCTTCCTCTCCTCCTGAGTAGCTAGGACTACAGGTGCACACCACCACACCTGGCTAACTTTATTTTTTGTTTGATGTTTGGTAGAAGGGATTTTGTTACATTGTTTAGGCTGGTCTTGGACTCCTGACCCCAACTGATCCTCCTGCTTTTGCTTCAGAAAGTGTGAGCTACTGTGCTTGTCCTCTTTTCTTTTCTTTTTTTTTTTTCTCTCTCTTTCCTTTTCTTCTTTTTTTATTTTGAGACGAAGTCTCGTTCTGTTGCCAGGCTGGAGTGCAGTGGCACAATCTTGGCCCACCGCAACCTCTGCCTCCCAGATTCAAGCAATTCTCCTGCCTCACGTCCTGAATAGCTGGAACTACAGGCACACGCCACCACACCCAGCTAATTTTTGGATTTTTAGTAGAGAAGGGATTTCACCATGTTGGCCAGGATGGTCTCAATCTCTCGACCTTGTGATCCGCCTGCCTCAGCCTCCCAAAGTGCTGGGATTACAGGCGTGAGCCACCATGCCTGTCTGGTCTTTTTTTTTTTTTTTTTTTTTTTTTTTACGAGAGTATCTCTTTCACCCAGGCTGTAGTGCAGTGGTGTGATTCTGTCTCACTGCAGCCTTGAACTCTGGAGCCCCAAGCAGTCTTCCCACCTCAGCTTCACAATAATCTGCAGCTATAGGTGTGCTCTACCATGCCTGGCTAGGAAGTTCTGTTAGATAGTATTGGTCTAGAAAATGTTAATTTTATTTTATTTTTTTTTCTTTTTTCAGTCAGCGTCTCACTCTGTTGCCTGGGCTAGAGTGCAGTGGCACAGTCTTGGCTCACTGCAACCTCCGTCTCCTGGGTTCAAAGGATTCTCATGCTTCAGTTTGCTGGTATGTGTCACCACACCCAGCTAATTTTTGTATTTTTAACAGAAACGGGGTTTTCCCATGTTGGCCAGGCTGGTCTTGAACTCCTGGCTTCAAGTGATCTGCCTGCCTTGGCCTCCCAAAGTGCTGAGATTGTGGATGTGAACCACCATGCACACCTGGCCGAAAATATTAATTTGACAGAGGCCAGAAAGGTAGGCTGAGAACAGTTGAGTTTCTGAGTGGTGTAATAGAAAGGAGTGCCAGCATGGAAGGTGGTAGAAAGGTGAGAGGAAAAAAAGTTTGGGGAGCCATTTACAAGACATAAGACATTTACAAGGCATAAGAGAAGCTAAAAAGTGAGAAGCTGGCTAGGTGTGGTGGCTCATACCTGTAATCCCAGCATTTTGAGAGGCTGAAAGCTGAATGGGACAGATCACCTGAGCCCACGAGTTCAAAATCAACCTGGGCAACGTGGTTAGCGGGGTGTGGTAGCACATGCCTGTAGTCCCAGCTACTTGGGAGGCTGAGGTGGGAGGATCACTTGAGCCTAGGAGGCGAAGACTGCTGTGAGCTGAGATCACACACCAGCCTGGGTGACAGAGTGGAACTCTAAAAATAAATAAATAAATAAATAAATAAATTAAATAAATAAATAAATAAAGGTGAGAAGTTGAAGGAAAGGTTCTTAATTTGATTTTTCTACAGTACCTTCAGTTAGTGAATGTATACAATCTAATTCTTTTATTTTATTTTATTTTTTATTTATTTATTTTTTTTGAGACGGAGTTTCGCTCTTGTTACCCAGGCTGGAGTGCAATGGTGCGATCTCGGCTCACCGCAACCTCCGCCTCCTGGGTTCAGGCAATTCTCCTGCCTCAGCCTCCTGAGTAACTGGGATTACAGGCACGTGCCACCATGCCCAGCTGATTTTTTGTATTTTTAGTAGAGACGGGGTTTCACCATGTTGACCAGGATGGTCTCGATCTCTTGACCTCGTGATCCACCCGCCTCAGCCTCCCAAAGTGCTGGGATTACAGGCTTGAGCCACTGCACCCGGCCAATTCTTTCATTTTATAGGTGAGAAAAGCATATATTACTGGTTAGCAGGGATCAGTATAATGGTATGTTTTACCTGTCAATGAATGCTCCTTGAATCTATCTTGGTCGTTTTCAGTATCCCGTGGAATGCAGTAGGAAATAGATGAGAGAGCTGAACTAGAGAGAGTGCTTACCCTGGGCATGTTACTCAGCTGGATTAGCAAAGTAGAAGGCAAAAGGGTTAAGAGTAGATAGATAATTTGATTATTACCATATGCATCATTTTCTGTGAGGTATAACCAGGAAGTTGGGGAAAAGCTAGAGGAGAGTCTCTGAGGGTTCGTTGCATTTTGATTGAAGTTAGTGGCAGCATTCTTTTTCTCCAAGGCCTTACCATGTTGAGGGTAGAGCACAGCCCCCTTCACCCTGTCTCACTGTCCCACCACCAAACCAGTTGGTACAGCTTATTTTATGTAAAGGGAAGATAAATCTGGAGTATTCAAGCACAGTTGAGGTAGAATATTCAGTAAAGCCATTGGAGTGAGCCTTTTCCAAAAGGCTATTCTCTTTTTATTCATGTATAGAAATCCTCATAAAATAGAACAACCTCAGCTGGGTGCGGTGACTCACCCCTGTAATCCCAGCACTTTGGGAGGACGAGGTGTGTGGATCATCTCAGATCAGCAGTTTGAGACCAGCCTGGCCAACATGGTGAAACCCTGTCTCTACTAAAAATACAAAAATTAGCCAGGCAGCAGTAGCTCACGCCTGTAATCCTAGCACTTTGGGAGGCTAAGATGGGCGGATCACAAAGTCAAGAGAAACCCCGTTTCTACTAAAAATAGAAGAATTAGCCGGGCATGGTGGCATACACAGTTGGTTCCAGCTACTTGGGAGGCTGAGGCAGAAGAGTTGCTTGAACCTGGGAGGCAGAGGCTGCAGTGAGCCAAGATCGCTAGTTGGGAGGCTGAGGCAGGAGAATCGCTTGAACCCAGGAGGCAGAGGTTGTGGTGAGCCGAAATCACTCCATTGCACTCCAGCTGGGCACCAAGAACGAAACTAAGTCTAAAAAAAAAAAAAGACCTCTTTTACACTCAATATGGTTTATCAGAGTCATCATACATAAATCTTACATTCAGAAGAGGCTCTCATTTTTGATAATTTTATTACTCTACCCAAAGTGATCCAAGGAATCTTTCTAAACATTATTATAGAGACTTTTTTCTCGCTCAGTTAACAAATGTATATTTAAGAGCTTATCTGGCTTCACCTTTGTGTGTTGCCAATGTTTTTCAAGTCCTCTTAGCTGTGAAAGCAAGTATGTACCACTTAAGTGGAAGAGTTGTTGCCATATTCTTTATAGATATATAGAATGGTTTTGTTTTCTGAACTAATATTGGGGTTAATGTTTTGCAAAAGAATTTCTGGCCAGGCACACTGGCTTATGCCTGTAGTCCCCAGCACTTTGGGAGGCCAAGGCAGGAGGATCACTTGAGACCAGCCTGTGTAACATGGCAAAACCCCGTCTCTACAAAAAATTAGCCAGGCATGATGGTTCTTTCATGTAATCCCAGCTACTTGGGAGGCTGAGGTGGAGAAGCAACTGAGTCCAGAAAGTCGAGGCTGCAGTGAGCTCTGATCACACCACTTGCACTTCAGCCTGAAGTAAGGCTGTCTCAAAAAAGAAAAAAAAAAGTCCCTGCTGCTTCTTGATGAGAGAGGTATGCTTGGAAATAGGTTTAGATCCTGAATGTTGGGGTTTCTGAGATAGTCTACTGACTTATATAGGATATCACAGCAAATATTTGAAAGTAGGACTTTACTGGATAATTTGGAAAGTGTGATCACTTTTAGATACCTGCAAATGGCTAATTCCCAAATGCCGGGATGATTATTGCTTTATTAAATGCTGAAGATAATGTACACTGTGTTATATTTAATCGTTTCTGTTAGAGATCTAGGACATTCGTTTTACTAAATGAGCTAGAATGTGCAAAACAATTTCAAAATAGTAATATTCAAGGAAGAAGCCTTAAATAAGGTGTGTTCTGATTTTTACGTTCTGATTTGTATGTCTAAGAATTTTTCAGCTTTTCTCTAGTGACATCTAGCTTTCAAATAGTTTTATCACATGGTAAAATTCTTCAAAAGCAAATTTCTAAAGAGCTTTCTTCCAGTTAGGTTCTCAGTTTAATGCCGTTTCTTTCCACAGATTTGCTTGTAAATGTATCACGAAGAGGCAGCCCAGAATGAAGAAAGCAAGCAGGAGTGTTGGCTCGGTGCCTAAAGTGTCTGGGATAAGTAAAACGCAAACAGCGGAAAAAATTAAACCTGAAAACAGCTCTTCAGCATCTACAGGAGGCAAACCTGTAAAACCTGGAGCAGCAGCATCATTGTCAAAGGTATTCATGTGGTGATGTTTGAATACATGGTGGATTTTTGGAGGAGTGAGTTTAAATATGATGTGTAATATATTAAATGAGCATTCTTACAGGTGTGCCCTCTTCTGGTGCTGGGAACACTTGGCCTTTGAAGAGAGCTTACAGTAGGGTAGACCTAATTTGTGTTTTTGGTCTGTCTTTTTGAATGAAACCAAACAATAGGCTTGTTCATGAAACAATTGAGCACCTGCCTTGTGTAGGATGCTGTGATTGTGTGACCTGGAGGTACACTCTGCCTTCAGGGAGCTTGTGGAGTAAAGGATGGAGGCAAGGCACAAACATAAATAAGGAAAATACTCAGGGAGAATGTCAGATACCCTGGGAGAGCAGTAAAGCACTGTGAACAGTTTCAGGTAGGTAAATATTGTTTCTAGCCTGGGAAGGTTTTATGAAAAGAGCATATGAGCCAAGTCTTACAGTCCCGTGACCTCTTGACAGGTCTTTTTATCTGCCTGTCTCCCTCACCTTTGTCACCACAAATTGCTGTTTTTCTTCTGGCAGCTGGTTCATTATTATTATTATTAATTATTATTATCATCATCGCTTTTTATTACTTTTTTTTTTTTGAGATCTGTGTTGCCCAGGCTGGTCTCCTGGTTCAGTGGATCCTCCTGCCTCAGCCTCTCGAGTAGCTGGCACTACGGGTGTGTGTCCGCATGTACAACCGGAAACATGATTTGTTCAAAATCCTTTTTTCCAGGCAGGGCCCCGATAGATCATGGCTTAATTATTTTAAGAATGACCTCAGGAACAGCTGATGAGGAACTTCCTTATATGTGTTGAAAGATCTAACAGGAAATGCTGGTTTTTCTATTCTAAGATTGTTGGAACTGAACCCAGACTTATTTCATTGGCTTAGAGATGCACACAGATTTTCTCCTGGCTACGACCCTGATGAATTGCTAGGTATCATCCTGTGGCCTGTATACCAGGAATAGACCCTTGCCCAGCTTCCGTTAGTCTCAGTGAACACACTGAATCATTTTGTTGGTAGCAGTGCTGCCGCTCTTTGGTGTAAGATAAGTGGCATTTTCTGACCTAACTGGTTACTCAATTGCTGGGGCTTTCTTTGGCGTGGAGTGCCTGTGTGACCTGTTATTTATGTGACTGGAAGAACAGGTTGAAATGTTGGCACTGGATATGCATTGCCACCTTCCTTCTGTGGCCTCTTCATATGTGGCAGGCAGTGTCTTTGGAGGTTTACCATGGAATGTGCACTGAACAGGCATGTTACATCTTCGAAAGCTTGGATCTGGAGTTGCTGGGAGTTTGGTCTTGGACAGTGAGTACTTTTCCACTGTAAAGCAAACCTGTACACTTGCTCTTGCCAGCACATGCCAGCTGTCCATAGCTTTGGCTCTGCTGCGTTGACAAGTTTGTTTAAGGGGTGTGTGCGTGTGTGTGTGTGTGTGTGTGTGTGTGTGTGTGTGTGTGTGTGTGTAGCAGGAAGGTGAGGGCAGAGGTAAAGCTATTTGGCAGCACTTTTCCTGGAGTGGGTTAATTGCCTTCACTTAAGAGAGGAGAAGGAAAAAGTAATGAAATGGAGATTAAAGTAAAAAGAGACAAAAGGAAAGAAGAAAATCGTGAAAAAGAACAATGGAAAACATTGAAGGGCTTTGAGACCCCACAGACTAAAGTGTTATTTTATTTTTCTAATTTTCCTTATTTTACTATGTTTCTCTTGGCACGTAGATACTTCTTACAACTTGAATTCCTGTAACTGTCATGAAGCATTGATGATTAACCTGGTGAATGAAGTGTTTGGCTTAATTATTGAGACAGCATGTTCACACACCCATTCATTTATGGACACCCACACCTGTGTGTCTGTCACTGAACAATATTCTCATGACTCTCTTCTTGTAGTGACAGGGTACAAGATATGCATTTCTTCACCTCTCTCATTTCAAGTATTGTTTGAGCTAAATGTAGTTGAGGGTTAAGGGAAGGACTCTTTTGATCCAGAATACTTCACTGCTGGCTACAGCTTTTGTAAATACAAAACACTACTGCTGCTCACAGTGAGTTTTGGGGACATTATTCCCACTTTTGTCAGGAGCTGTGTTATTGGGCTTTCAGCCTTTGTATACTTAATCCTCCTTTGTCACAGTCAGTGGAGAGGATTATTTTCCATGTAGAGAGGGTCTCCTGCATGCCAGCACTTTGTAGCGTTCACTTACTGTTCAGGTGTTTATGATTAGTTCTTTTGGATTAATATGCTATTCCATTGTACTGATGATAATTTTTTCTAAAAATTATAGATATGAATTAATAAGTTTCAGTTAGAATTTACAATTGATAACTTTCCATGATTATTTGTGGTCATACAGTGTAAAAGTTAGTTAATAGTATTAACAATCCACCTCTGAAACTTGAAAGGGAAAATTTGAAAACAAATGTTCAAATTTGAGAGAGAGATGCAGACTGTGAAACTTGGACTTGACCTTGAGAAGTATATGTACCTGGTTGTAGTATTTCATTATTTGTTTCTGGAATGTTTTTACCAAATTATTTGCATTTTGCAGCAGTTATAAAAAAAATAGGCTGAACATTTCTTCCTTCATCAATTTCATGTTTTTACACTTGCTGGTGGGGGATGTTTATGTGTGGGAATGCACATGCCCTTACATAATTTTATAGCAAAAATTAAAAGAAATAGGGAGAAACAGCAGAGAGCCCACTAGTAGCTTAGGGGAAAGGTAAGTTGGAAAATGCAGAGGTTTTTGGTTTTTGTTTTTTCCTTTTTTGTTGTTACTGAAGTAAAGCATACATACAGCAAAGTCCACAAAGCATAGGTGTTGAGCTTAGTGAATCATCACAAAATGAAACATACCCTGCAACCACCACCTAGAAACAACATACGTGCCCCTCAGAAGCTTCCCTTGTTCCCCTCTTTAATCATTGCCCTTCCTGTCCTTCCCCAAAGCAACTGCCTTTCTGACTTCTAGCACCAGGGACTAATTTTGCCAGTTTTTGATCTTTACAGGAACATAGTCATACACCATGTTTTTTTTATGTGTGTCTGGTTTCTTATCTGTACTGTTGCATCTAGCAGTGGTCACTTCCTTTTCATTACTGGTTAGTAATCCGTGGGGTAAATATACCACAGTTTGTTCATCTCTTCTACTATTGGCAGACTTTTGGAGTTTCTTTTTTTTTTTTTTTTTGAGACAGAGGTTCACTCTTGTTACCCAGGCTGGAGTGCAATGGCACGATCTCGGCTCACCGCAACCTCCACCTCCCGGGTTCAGGCAATTCTCCTGCCTCAGCCTCCTGAGTAGCTGGGATTACAGGCACGCGCCACCATGCCCAGCTAGTTTTTTGTAGTTTTAGTAGAGACGGGGTTTCACCATGTTGACCAGGATGGTCTCAATCTCTTGACCTCGTGATCCACCCACCTCGGCCTCCCACAGTGCTGGGATTACAGGCTTGAGCCACCGCGCCCGGCCTTGGAGTTTCTAAGAGTAGTATTGTTATGAACATTCGTATACATGTGTATTAATGCACATGTGCACCCATTCGTGTTGGTTCTAGAACAAGGAGTGAAATTACTGAACCATAGGGTATACCTATGTTTAGCTTTAATATTATAGATAGAAGAAAATCATTTTTTACGGTGGTTACCAGTTTACATTCCAGGTTACTTCACATCCTCTCTTGCACTTAAATTGTTACGCCTTTTATGTTAAGCACTCAGGAATGTATAAAGGGGTGGAGGAGTGGCATTAATTTGCATTGTTGCCAGTAAGATTGAATACCTTTTTATACATTGTTTTTATGTGCTCAGTGGTCATTTAGATCCTCCTTTGTGAAGTGCCTGTTCAAGTCACTTGGCCATTTTTCTGTTGGCTTTTTTTTTCCAACTTTTTTTTTTATTGTGGAAAACTGCATATAGCATTCATCACCTTGGCCTTTTTATTTTCCATTTTATTTATTTTTATTTTTTTAAGAGATGGTGTCTCACTCTGTTGCCTGCCCAGGCTGGAGTGCAGTGGCATGATCCTAGCTTACTGTAGCCTTGAACTCCTGGGCTCAAGCCATCTTCTGGCTTCAGCCTCGGGAATAGCTGGGATTATAGGTGCACACCACCATACCTGGCTAATTAAAACAATTTTTTTTTTTTTTTTTTTTTAAGAGACAGGGTCTTGCTTTGTTACCCAGGCTGGTCTCTAACTCTGTGGCTTCAAGTAATTCTCCTGTGAAAGTGGGATTTCAGGTGTGAGCCACCGTGCCCAGCCATCTTAACCATTTTTGAGTGTGCGGTTCAGTGCCATTAAATACATTCACATCGTTGTGCAGCCATCATCACCATCCATCTCCAGAATTTTCATCTTTCTAAACTGAGTCTCTGTACCTATTATATAACTCCCTATTCCCTCTTCTCTCCAGCACCTGACAACCACCATTCTACTTTCTATCTCTTATGAATTTCACTGCTCTAGCTGTCTCATATAAATGGAATCATAGGCCACTTGTTTTGTGACTGGCTTATTTAACTTGGCATCATGTCCTCAAGGTTCATCCGTGTTGTAGCATGCGTCAGAATTCCTTCCATTTTTAAGGCTCAGTGGTATTCCATTGTATTTATATGCCGTGTTTTGTTTATCCATTCGCCTGTCAGTGAACATTTGGGTTGCTTCCACCTTTTGTCTACTACTAATAGTACTACTATGAATATCAGTGTGCAAATATCTCTTCAAGGCCCTGCTTTCAATTTTGAGGGGGTATGTGTCCATAGGTGGAGTTGCTGCATTATATGGTAATTCCATTTTTAATTCTTTGAGGAACTGCCTATTGTTTCTCGCTGCTAGCAGCTACACCATTTACATTCCCATTAGCAGTACATAAGGGTTCTCGTTTTTTTTTTTTCAGGTCCTCTACAAAGCTGTTGTTTTGTTTTTTGACAATAACTATTCTAGTGGGTATGAGAGGGTACAGTGTCTTTTTGCACTGATTTCTCG